CCTCCTTTAGTGATAGGCATTTAGTTTGGATGCTACTGATTTTATTTTGTATATATTAAGGGGAAACAACAATATAACTTTTACATTTTCTTTTCTAGGGAGCATTTTGTTTTCTGAGGATCTTGAATTGTGTGATGAATCCAACATTGCTAATCATAAAAATATTAGATTTTAGAATGTTTATTTTAGAATTCTATCTTCTTATCTATTTCTAAATATCAAAATTTCTGACAAGTTCAACATATTTTGATACATGTTGATTCCATTGTAATGTAAAATGTAGAGGAAAATTCTTTAATATCTGAATTTCATTTGCATATAATATACGTTATATATTTTTACAAATATTCATTTCTTATACAAGTCTAATAGTTCTGATATGATCACCAGTAAAGCAATGTTGTAATACAATTTCATGTTGTCTGTTGTGGGTAAACCTTAACATACAAAGATGTTTATGAAGCTTGCTTTTCTCATTTCTTCTTTTGTGTGTGTGTGTGTGTGTGTCCAGTTAACAGTTCCCTGTCTGTAGAGTTAGGCTCATCATGTGTGCTCTGTTGCCCTCCTGTCCTGACAAACGTGGAAATAAGGACATGGAAAATCATGCTCAGAGGCCAGCCTTTATGCACAAAAGCCCATAGAAAAGAAACAAATGAGAGCACTGACACCAACTGTACCGATGAGAGAATAACGTGGGCCTCCAGACCTGACCTGAGTCCTCACCTTCAGATTAATGCGGTGGCTGTCGCGCATGATGGATATTACGTCTGTGAAATAGTGTCACCCAATGGGAATTTCCAACATGGATATCAACTGCAAGTGCTCGGTAAGGGATGTCATATATTGTGATATCTCACATCACCAAATTCTCTAAATTTCATCTCTGATCTTAAGGCTGAAGCATAATTTTCCTCACGTCTCTGCAGTGCGCCCTGAAGCCAACATGTTTCTCAGCGAGAATAAGACATTGGTGTGTGAGGCCGTTGCAGGCAGGCCGGCTGCACAGATCTCCTGGACTCCGAAGGGGCGCTGTGTGACTAAGGAGGAAAAGAACAGCAACGGCACAGTGACGGTCAGAAGCACATGCCGCTATTCAGACAGCAATGTATCCACTGTGACCTGCTTGGTCTCCCATGTGACGGGGAACAGGAGTCTCTCTGAAGTTCTGCCTTCTGGTTAGTAATTCTCTTAGTTTTGGTTTGATTTTTTCCCCATTCTTTTATTGGAGACAAGGAGGAAAAAATGTGCAGAGAAATCTCCTTCAGAGATGCTCTCTCAGCCTCCAATTTATTTCCCCTCCCCTTCCAAAATAAAGATATAATGTCTAGAGGAATATTACAGAACTTTTTGGTAAAAAGCCTTATTCCACTCATATTGCTTGCTTTTATACTAGTATTACATTGACTTAAGTACTGTATTTTAATGTAAACCGTAGCTATTTGATTTACTAAAAATTGTTATATCACTAATACCAAGGAATAAGATAATGCTAAATTCTCATCTATTATAAGTGGCACTGGCTATGTAATATCTAAATTTGAGAAATAAGAAGCAACACTATCATATCTGCATATTCAAATTAAAGTATTTAATAAAAATTGTTGTCATTCAACACATAATCTTTCTTTTTTACTGTTTTTCATAGTCTTCATAATTGCTTAGTTTTTAAAACTTCCAATGTATGTACTTATTGTGAGTTAACATGAAGCTCATAGACAAAATTAAATAACTCCTAGTAATGCTTTGCACTCATCAGATTTAGGTAATCCATCACTTCCATTTTTTTCTTGAGGCCATCCCGTCTTGAATTTTTCCAAGGTTGGGCTTATCAGTCCTGATTGGTCACCTGACCTGTTGCACAGCTATTGGCCCGGATGTTCTGTTTACTTTGATCCTCTGTTTGATCCTGTACATACTTAATCTGAATTTTGCTGCCTTCTACCATTTGTTTGTTTTAATCTTTCTTTCCTATGCTCTCTTTGATAATCCTTGGTTGTCAACTGATTTCCACTTGAGCTCTGAAGAGCTGATTACAAGCCTGACTCTACAATAGAGGGACTTCTCCACTAGTTAACGCCAATAAAGAGACCAAGAAAAAAATGGATTTTTGTTTTACAGTAACTGGAGATCCTCATGTGTCTTTTCTAGGGGACTGTTGAGGCTCTTCAGGAAATAAGTCTCCAGC